TTGAATTCCCAGAGAGGCGATATTTTCTTGTCAGGGGCAGAGGTAGTCTAGCATTATTGGAATTAATTATGTGACTAGTATATGCTTTGCAGGTGGGATTTGTACTTACCTTACTCGGAAAAGATCAATAGAAGTGAATGGAATCATCACATTGTTATCGTCACATTGCTTTTGCAGGTCCTATAAAACACATTTGATGGGCCACGGACGACGGGCGACGCACGACGGGCGACGCACGACAGACGATGCACGACGGGCGACGCACGACGGACGATGCACGACGGGCGACGGACGACGCACGACGGGCGACGCACGACGGGAGATGCACGACGGACGACGCACGACGGGCGACGCACGACGGCAGATATGGAATTCCATAATTAAGGGCGTTTATTCAACTCAAACAAACACTCTAAAGGCGAATAGTGAAAAAGTCACTCCCAAAAGACCGAGTCCCCTATACATGTAGATACTTTCCAAAAGACTCAAAAACAACTCAAGAAATAGTTAAAACTACTTAAAAAAACTAAAACAAAAAACCCGCAAATACATGTTACTATAAAAGAGTGAAATTTCACTTTTTCGTAATGGTTTTCGCTCTCTTTAGACTTCCTCTTTTGAGTGGTCTTTATAAGGGACTGACGTTGTATGAGAGTGTTTTCACACTTTTACAATTAAAGAGAAAATAACTATCCATTTCTCACAAATGAAAACTGCAAAATTGGCAGAGAAAAGCCTATTATGCTACTCATTTTTTCATACTTACATTTAACTCATTAGTAGGGGTTGGAAAAAGTGTGCTCTCACAAACCAACTTCGTTCGATGCCTCGTAAGGAATTGCTGTAATCTTGCACTGTACACTTTGGGACATTACACTAAACTTCAAACCAGTAGCTTGAATGATTTGCACACATCGGACTCTTCCGCGCTATTATATTTTTTTCCACTAAAATTAATTGTAATAATGTATTGCATTTCATTCAATTCATTTTAGCATAGTGATTCTTTTACGCATGGCTCAAATGTCTTTAATCCTGTTCTTTTTTATGCGGAGATGTCTCCTCCCTGCCGTTAGGTCCAGGGCTGAGGTAAGGACCCCAAGTGTTTGAGGACAAGGAACCACGAAGAGTATAGGTTATTAGCTCTGGTCGCCGATTTATTGTATGCCAGACACGTGGAAGTAAAACAATGCAAAACAAAATCCTGCACATAAACAGAGCATAAATAAGATTTACACACATTAGGACTCAATCTAATAAATTATACATTGCACATAATCTATTGTTAATATGTAAACAAAAGGTAAGTAAGAAGTATTTATCTTAAGAAATTATGCTAAAACAATAAACTCTAAATCAGAAAGACTCTAACACAAGACGATTGAAAATAAATTGATCAAACGGAGCGGTTAGAAAAGCTTACAGCGGTAGGCAGATCTTCCACGCGGTGGAAACATGAAGAATATTTCAAATCAGAAATGGCTCATTTTAGGAGCCTGGACCGTCCACACACTATTGAAAAGGGGCGATTGTGACAGACCTGGAAGAATTATTTTCGTTACCAAGGAGTTAGCTCGCTACTGTATCGGTTTTGAACAAACTTTTCGTAAACTCAAAAGACTTCTTTAAGGTTCTGAAATTTTCTACAGATCTCTACGATGAGGACCAAGCCCTTTTTGTCGGCAGATAGTTCGACACTGATCAAGAACCAGGAGAGGATGAGAGATCGCTAAGCTGAACACTTCAGTATCCTGTTGAATAAACCTTTCTCTGTGTGTCCCTCTGCTCCCAACGAGATTGGGAGCAGCAGCCTACCCTTCATGAGCTTGATAATCCTCCCCAGCCAAAGAAAACAAGAAGACCATAGCAGATAAACTCCAACAGGGCACCAGGAATGGATGGGATTTCAGCAAAAATCTACAAGCTGCTGGTTCCGAGGCAATATAAAGCGTCTTCCATGGTACTATACACCGGGTTCAAGAGAAGATGCTCTGATTGTTGCCCTGAATAAGGACAACAAAAGCAGTCTGTATAAACTACAGAGGCACCTTGCTTCTGTCAACTAATGGAAATATGTTTTGCTCGAGTGATTTTGAAAAGGCTCATTAATTTATCAGAGGCCGACCTGCCAGAGGCCTACTCAGGATTTTCTAACAATTTCCACAATTATGTAGTGATGATCTGTGACTTCATTGCTGTTATTAAATTTGAGTAGCAATGTGAATAAACGACAGCAAGAAAGTGATCTACACTAAAAAGGATGGCAAAATACACAACTTTCCATAAAATACAAACAAGATTTTCAAGTACCCATCATTTAAAAATACAAGCGAGTAGGTTAGGAACTGCATTGAACACTCCATTACATACATCTAATGTGGTAAGAGACATCAGAAAAGTCTGGGTGGTCTCTTGAATTTCACTGGTGCATCACAGAACGAGAAGGCTCAAGAAATTAAGCAGGACTATAAGTATAATTGTTAGAACTCCTGGAACAATTTTGAATATGATTCAAGTGTTGTGCTGCACTGACAGATCGTCATAGCCGACATGGGACGCATTCATATCCATTGCATTAATACTTCGCCCAGATGCGTGTGAAAAGACAAAAAATTATTGACACAACAGCTTTATCCAATGTACTTCTGTACATGTATATTTCAAACTTTATTCCAGGTTCACCCAACATGCAAGTGCCAATTAAAGGATGAACAAACGCGACCATGGCGAAGACAATTGAAGAAATGTTCAGTTTTAAAGGTGGAAGAAAAACCCTGCATAAATATTCCAGGGAACACCATTGAATCAGGTAGAGGACTCATAATATCCCCTTCACACACCCTAGACAGCTTCATCCTACTTCACAAATAATCATTTGCTTCTGCTTCATGTAGAATCTTTCCCATTAGAATATAAATGACAAATTTCAATCTTTAGATTGTAGACCTTTTTATATGTACATGTACTTTAAGTTTCTGGAGAACGTACATTTATGTACATCTTTTGATAAAACATTTCAAGTTTCACTTCTCCTCAAAGATGTAAGAAAAGTGGACAAATCCTAGAACCTTGAAAAAATGAGATCCCAGCATGTCTGTTACTCCACAATCTTACATTACGTTCATGTATCTAGAAAAATGGTTATGAAAGAACAACTACATGTACATGCATTCTAACCTCAAGACTTTTATTCTGAATAATTCTTCATCAATTTGCAGCTCTTTTTCAGTTGTACATCAAAATTCTCACTTTAATAGTAATCAGAGCAAAAAAGAAATCTTGTTACATAGCAATACTTACATTATTTTGACCACAGCCCCCCCCCAAGACAGAAAAACAATCATGAAAAAATGTCCAACAACACAACAACGTTTACTTCGTAGGAAGTCAGTGTTACCTGAGAACTTTTCCTCCAGTCATCAAAGTGACTATTGATATTCAATTAACATTTTTTTGGAAATGAACAGACAAAAACGGTTCAGGACTATAAGTATTTGTGACCTATCATGGTAGCTCCAACATTCAGAAGCCTTAATTAAAGATGCCCAGTTAGCACGCATCATACATCAGTACAAGCCAGTCACAGTTACTCAGGACTTCAAGTATCTTCCTCCAGTATTTCTTGATGCAACTTTCTCAATGTCACCTCCTCTGGTTCACTGTTTGGATTTCTCCGAACTCTGGGTGCTACTGACTGAAATTTTTTCTTGAAATCCTCCACCTGCATGCAAATACAGAAATATACTCAACATCATGATTACGACAATGTAATAATTTTGTCCTTTACACTATGTGTCTGTTTCAAAAGAGGAACAAAACTATTAAATTGTTACAAAGCAAGACAATATTACTAAATTTCCTATTCTGTTATTCACTTACAGAGTTGAATCCCATAACTTTACAAACTGCAAAGGTCAAAGTTCCAAATCCAGTCACAGCAAACAGTGATCCCCAAAGTAAAGCACGCATTCCCAGTGATGCTCCACTCTCATGAATGCTGACTGATGGATTTGGAAGAATTCCCTGCAGAAAAAGCATCAGTAAAGAAGAGTCCATAAAAACAATTCAAAATTAAACACAGAAAAATTAAATTCCAAAGGAGACTTGTGTTTGTTAGGTGACAAACACAAAGCTGTTTCGGTAATCTCTTTTGGGTGGACAAAATTGACTTCTATCTGTGCCGACAGAGGTTGTAATAACATACCACAGTACAGGGATCTTCTTTGTGCCATATTGTCTGTGTACATATGTGACAAGGCCAAAAGAAGACATTGTGTGAAACAAACTTAACTGCTTATTCAGGCTGGTTTACCACAAGCCAAAATCATCTCTCTGCATTTTCTCGAATAAAAGGTTTGACAAGTTTGAAAAGTGTAACAAGGCCCAGGGAGGCATTTAGTAAAGTAACAGTTCCTCACATAGCCAGTCCAAACATACCTCCATAGAGTCACAATGTAAATTTAAGCCACAATTAAAAAATTTTCTGGCACAACCCCACACAACAGATTACAATGGATATGATAGATTCAGGGAACATAAAAATGCCATACCCCTTGAACAAGGTCTATGAAATGCACTTTAATATCCTTGCAGTCAATACATATGTGTACAAGCAGATGGCTAATTACCTTACTGAAGGATCCTGGATGTTTCCTTTTAGCTGTGGCCATTGTCAAACCAAATCCAGAAATCATTGCAATGCCAGCAACACTGACCATAAAGACTGATCCTGGAGTGGAAAACATGACACCTTCAAGTAATTTCAAGAGTAGAATCATCAGGCTTTTATGGTATAAACATCCTGTATAATTTTGCAGTCTTTTGATAACAGAAACAAAGTATGACATCATAAGAGGTGGGGCATACATTTTAGTCTACGACAGAAGTGACCTTATTGCTGAGCGCAGGTTAACAACCAGTATGCTGTGGTGTGGGGAAAGTCTGCTGTTGAAAATGCAAGGTTGGACAGTAAAAAATCAGCGTTTTCCCCAAAATGTTGGTCTAGTGGTCCTAAAGCAATCTTCATGGATTATTAAAGTGATTATTAAAGCTCGTTAAAGAAGGGCTTGACACCATATTGCTCACAACCGGCAGCATTCATGGTACTGAGTGATAAGGGCCTTTCTTCATATGTGTGTGCGCTAACATTACCAACCAAGTGTGGACAAAAGATGCCAACACAAAGCAGGAAGGGAAGACGTTCTGTGGACTTACCCATGTCCACAGGACATTTCCCCTACTCTGAAAAAGAAGTTCAGAGCCATTTGGGGGTTAGGGGTTATCTGTTGTAAAAAGAAAAGGAATGGTCAAGGAAACTTTTTACAAAAATTCAGCTGAAAATTGTGTTCCGAGTTCAAGACAAATGCATATTTTCACTGAGATTTCTTGGCTGCACTGAAACAAAGGGATGTACACACTACATGTACATGTAGGTATGTAACATATGGTGTGTGTGTAAACAAAGGGCATCAAGGGATGTCCACACCAGGTACATGTATGTAACATAAGGTGTGCGTTTAAACAAAGGATGTCCACACTAGGTATCTAACATAGGTGTGTGTGTAAACAAAGGATGTCCACACTAGGTATCTCACATAGGTGTGTGTGTAAACAAAGGATGTCCACACTAGATATCTAACATAGGTGTGTGTGTAAACAAAGGATATCCACACTAGGTATGTAACATAGGTGTGCGTGTAAACAAAGGATGTCCACACTAGGTATGTAACATAGGTGTGTGTGTAAACAAAGGATGTCCACACTAGGTATCTAACATAGGTGTGTGTGTAAACAAAGGATTTCCACACTAGGTATCTAACATAGGTGTGTGTGTAAACAAAGGATGTCCACACTAGGTATGTAACAGGTGTGTGCGTAAACAAAGGATGTCCACACTAGGTATCTAGCATAGGTGTGTGTGTAAACAAAGGATGTCCACACTAGGTATGTAACATAGGTGGGTGTGTGTTTATTTTTTTGCACAGCCGCCACACACTTTGAGACCAAATAAGCCTCACTTCCTTTTTTTTGGTTCTGATTCCAGAAAGTGAGTGTTTTGTTAATCTGACCTTGGAAAAGAAAATGGATCATGGATCAAGAGGGTATCATTTCAAGTGTGGTTTGTGGAATAAACTCCAATACCCTGCATAATGTCTATAAAGGACAAGTTTGCACAGCATGCCCTCACTTACATGTAGGAGGGGTATTTGTTATACGTGATGTGCTTGGGCAGATCCGAAAGAATTCAGGTGCTACGTATACTTGACACCCTGCGCACAAACCCTATACTGGTCTGAAAATTCTAAATGTACCTCATTATCCTTGCTGCTTAATTTGACATGTGTCAAAATTTGATCATTTGTATTGTTGGCATGGTTGATGAACAGGTGAACTATGAGTAGGACTATGTATGCATACATAGGTCGCAATGCCCCAGTCTATCTTTTTAATGGTACAGGAATGTTATTCTGAACGTTTATCAAGGAAAGAGTTCCATATACAGACAACACCAATCTTCCCTTAAAATATTAAACTACAGCCGTCAAAAAGTGATAACATGTCCTAAAAAGTGAAATTTAGCTGAGAAAATTATGAAGCATTTACTAAAGTCTCATAAGGTTTTTGCACAGGGGCATCAACTTAAAGTGTTGTCCTTCATGTCCGTACATGATGTACATATAGGCCTATTACTACCACTAGATGATAGGCCTTATGGAACTCTTTCTCACTATGTTATAACCTAGGATTACTCCAAGAATTAGTATTAGCATTAGTAAGAATTGTGAGGTATGCCCAGTGACTAGCTGTATAGAGTGGAGCATTAGTATTCCTTTTTTTCAATTTTGGACAGGATCTTCATCTACATGTACTCTGTGACCATGTTTGGGAGTACAGGTGACAGGTACATACTACATCATACATCAGCATGTAGCCTAGTCCACGTAACTTTAAGCCTAGCCTCACACATAGGGCTGTAGTGGCTCTAATTTACAATTTGTCTCTTTTCTGTCGCCACCACAGATAAGAGACAGATTGTAAAAGCGAGCCATTACAGCCCTATGTACGCGTGTGGCGTTACTTCGAACCATGATTGTATTGCCGCGCCTAATCATGCTAGCAGTATACGTAACACGTAGGCCTACAGGGCCGCCTGGTTAGGGCCTAGTACCAATTTTTCGTGGCCATGAATTTAAAATACGTTTTTAGAAAACCTATTCAAGCAGGTACCTTTAAAAAATGGAAGTAAATCTGAATACTTTGAGTCACTGCTTTCCACACATTTGTTGAAAACATCAATATTTAAATCTCCTTTGGCACCGGCAACTACTTCTGCTTCGCAGTGTTCATCGGGGGCCGCCATCTTCTGTCAGAACGATTATAGAGGGCGCCACACTCTCTCAATGCCAGGGCCGTTTTCCAATACTCAACTTTGGCTCCGTCTCATGCTTCAACTGTTTTTTACTAGCTAACTTTGAAGCTGTAAGCGCAGTAATCAGTCTAATAGTGCCACAGAACATCAAATAAGATGCAAGAGAGCCAAAAATTACAGTCATTCAATGTAATTTAAACGCTTCAAGCCCACAGTCGTGGATTGGTTTGGGGAACGAAGCCTGAACGGAGACGAAGTTGAGTATTGGAAAACGGCCCAGGAATGAGGAATAGAAAATTGGACTGAAGACCGAGAAATTAAAATCTCAGTACCCCCATCCACACTGCAAAGACTGATGTACATGTATGCTTTCTTGCTTTCTAAATTGAGGTAATGCAGTTTAGTTTGTTGCTACTTATATCTGCAGTGTTTGCGGGAGCGCGGTAAATGTCAATGTCATGGTCGGCGCTCGGAAGCAGCCCCCTCACTTTTTTTGACAGGGGCGGGGGGCATGGCCCCCACTTTTCGCAGGACCTCTAATGGGGTGGGGGGAAATGGAACGGCCTATAAATGGCTGATGCCTGATGGTCTCACAACTGCTCCCTCTTCCCCCACCTCGAAAATTGTTCCGCCGCCGCTGGAATGCAACTTCAACATTGAAGATGAAAATCTTGTCCTCTCCCTCAAAACTATACGTGACACAATGAAATGTCGGTGTTTGAAAGCAAAGTTTCCACCTCGTTTATTTGTAGAGGCTTGTTACGTGACATAATTATATGGCACAGACATGGTGGATTTCCAAATTTGGATAACCTTACAAGTAAAATTTAGCTTATATATACATATAAAGGTAGAAATCAACGACTCAGTATACAGTTTGAACTGGTATACGTATGTATATGAATAAAATACAAGTTTATCCTGTTTGATTACGGCCGCTAGGTTACCTAAACCACGAATAATTAAGCAACCCTTTCGACATCAAAAAGGATCGCTGTTTTAAAACCAGGATACCAGGCACCAGGGCACTATATGTGTGAAAGTCTTGAAACAGCACTGATTCCTAGTAAGTCTATGGTGCTCGATGACTTATCAAGGTCGGCATATGTTCTTCCTGGATATGTTCAACACCGGAGCATGACAGCATCTGCTTTGTGAAGGATTAACATGTGGAACTAGATATCAAATAATTTACAACGCATTAGAACGGACAAAGTGTCTAATAATCAAAGAGTATCACTTTCTCAAATTTAGCTGTACCTGATAATGAAGACAGACAATAAATGTAACATGAGCAATTGACTTGCATACTGAAGCCTTCATGTGCTTGCAGTGCCCTTCGGTGTAACAAATGCTAGGCAGAAACGTCTCAAGAGATAAACAGTGTTCAAAAACAACATTAGCGTACAAGGGGCCTATATTATAGCTGGTGTAACATGTTCCCGTCTACCGCGATCTGTTCAATGTGTAACACATGTCCATTTCGCTCCAGCTAGCTGTACTGTCACAGGAATGCGAGTACGCCCGCAAGCGACAACGCGCACTGCACAACACTGCCCCCCAATCCAAAAAAACCCCATAAAGTCGATAATGATGAATTTTTTAAAAAACTACCACTTTGATCATGTATTTCCCTGAGAGAAAATGGAAACAGTTTTAATTATATGAATATTATGAATATCACAAATGATGGTAAACCAAAGAACCTCCTTGACCACAAATAACTATAGCAGGCAAGCACCCAGCAAAAACTTGGTGCGACATTACCTAACCAATGATTTGCCATATGGAGCTTTGGCTGCCAATAGAACATGGGCAGAAATTTGGCAGTGGGTTCAATGCAACCTTTGGTGTGGCGTGCCGTGGAATAAAATGAAACAACACTAATTTATTATTTACGCATTCTTAATATATACAGTATATCTCATATTTCTATAAAGGTCCTAATTCACGGTCAGAAATCCGGTGTATACTGATAATGGCGCAGTTTCAAACTTCCTCCAGCTTGACGTGTCATGCAAATTATAATGTTTAATTAAGAAATAAAATAATAACGATTTATTATGTAAACATTTTTTAACTTTGTTTAAAGTTAGTTGGAATTACATGTATGCCTGGGTCGTCCTGTGTAGCGCAGAAATTGAGTATAGTAGTTTTTAAACTTCACGATATTATCTCCTACCTGATGTGCTGTGCCATTTCATGTTCGGCACTCATCAGAGGCATGTGTTATCTGGAATAAGGTTTAAGAATGTTTTTATTACTTTTAATCCAGCTCCAGGTCCACCCATGCATATACGAAGAAACTAGGTACCGGGGCCTCTCTACCTCCGGCGTCACTTTCCGTGCAATTAAACATATGGTCGTTGTCTTTTATGAATAAATAAAATAAGATCGATTTCTTGTTGTGGAATTTATCAAAGACATTTGCTAATTTTTGGACATAACTTTTCAATTACGTTTTAGCTACTTTTACTTAACCTCCGCGTCGAACCGTATTCACGTGCTGAAATCAAGTCAGGCCCGTTTATTATTACCTCCGGCCTGACGTGCTGTATATATATGCCAATGAGAACATTTTACAGACGTTTTATAAAGATAAATAACACCCATTTCTCGTTGTAGCATTAATCAAAGACATTTATTTTTTGCTATAACTTCTCCGTTAAGTTTGAACTACTTTTATTCAACCTCCAGGTTGACCCGTACACGTGCAGAAATCGAGTGTAGGGTTGGTTTCTTAATACCTGGCCTGGTGTGTCTTGCATGGTAATTTACGGTCGTTTTGGTTAATAAAGAAACAAAATAAAGACATTGCTGTCAATTTTGCCACAATTTTTCGGGTTAGCTTAAATTACTTTCCATAAACCTCCAGGTCCAAGTAAACGGGCAAAATCGTGTGATTACTGTTGAAGGCACAGTTGATTATACGTCTGAGCTGGCACGCTACACAAAATATTCTATGGTCGTTATTGTTAATGGAGCAATAAAATAATAGCAATTTCTTTTTTAAGCATACGTCAAAGACATTTTGTCATTTTAAACAATTTTTCAAGTAAGTTTCCACTATTTTCATTTAACCCCCGGGGTGTCACACTCGAAATTAAATCAAGAACGGGTAGCCTGCTGTTTATTTAACCACCAGGTGACCGCTTTCCCAAACAGGCTATAGGCCACCAAATGATGTACGCACTGTACAGCTTCGAAGCAGAACATACGCTCTTCCTTTGGGCTCACCGAGCTTCATTAACTTGATAATTGAATAATTCCTCTGTTGTCATGCAGAGATTCGTGCTTGAACAAGCTGCGTTGTACGCGTGCCATCAACGCACAGTACGTACATGTGCACGCACGTCTTGTATTCAACACAACTGTACACTAGCATTTGCATAGTGCCGTCGCCGCAGATCGAGAAGGGGGGGGGGGTAAAAGGGGTCAATTTCGGCTGCCGGAAAATCATTTGGTCAAGCGTTTGGGCCGTCGAAAGGCAAACCCTGTGGAAAGTGATCCTTCGTACCAGAAGGGCAAGTGAGTAGACATTTAAGTGCTTACTAATTGTAAAATGCCACCTCAGGCTACCTCCAGCTTCCTCCGACTACCTCCGACTTTTACCAATTGCTCTGGTTGATCAAATTTACAGGAAACAGACTACCTCATGGCGAAGTTAAAAAAGACACGTTTCTCGTCCGGATTTTTTCAAGAAGGAGGAAGCGGGGCTTTTTTTATTTTTAAACATGTCCGCCGTTTAAAAAAATTCCTGCAACCGTTAGTGTTGGCGAAGTAGAAATAGGACACGTTTCTCGTCTGGATTTTTTCAAAGAAGGACGAAGCAGGGCTTTTTTTTTATTTTTAAACTTGGCCGCCGTTTAAAAAATATCCTGCAACCATTAGTGTTTCCACTATTCAAAGACATTTTAAAATGAAAGACAAGTTGGACAAAAGAACTGACATATATACAATGTCGTTTAGTGTTGTATTGGTCGACAATGAACAGTTTTAGACTCATTTATTTTAACCGCCAAAAGTCAATATATATTTTTGATGAGTAGTTTTACAGATAAAATCAAGCACCAAATGACAACTCTCAAAACCCACAAGAGTACACTCCAAGCTATAAATAAAAATGTGTTTGTGTGTTTCCATAAACAAATGAAGATTGATTAAAAGCATTTGAGGCATTTTTTTCTTTACATTTGTCGGTTTACTTTTGCAAGTCTGTATTTTTTCTACTACAAAGACTTTACCTTTTGGACTTGTGACATACGATGTATCCATCACTGTTTGACAAAAGTTTGACTGGTGCTTCGATGAAACCAAACGAAAAGGCTTACGATGAGCATGCATGCATGCATGATTGAAAACATCGGTAGCGCTAGACTGTCTCCCGCCCCCTCCCCTGTAATTGTTTAAATCAGAATGCATCGATGAAAATGGGATTGGGAACCAGTCTACGGCCGCTCGAGCCTGAGTCCCATACCATAATTCGGGCTACGAAGTACAGTACATGTACAAGAAGTGTATGTTATGGAGACAGATTGCGGTGAACTCGTCTTGCTCTAGACTCCCAGGAAGACGTGTTTTGCGATCGTGTCGCTCTGGAAGTTCGATATTACACCTCTTGTTACAAATCATACACTCAGTTCTGATAAGGAAAGGCAAGGAACCTGAAGGGTAAGCTGTAGACAATATTTAATTGTTGTGTTTTCCTATTTTTTTTACTGAGTTTAAGATATCTCCTTTGTTTTGGGGGAAATGAAGCAATCTTGGCCTCGTGTCTTTCAGTGCTCATTTTCATTATTTTAGGCTCATTTAAAAATTACGGTCGTGTTCATAATCCTGGTGAATAATCCTGACAATAATGAAGGAAATCATTTTATATTTTATTCAAAACTCTGATTAAAACCACCATTTGTGATGATTGGAAACCTGCACTTGTTCCAGCTC